CTTGAGAGCTCTCGGTATAAATCTCGCATGCCGACCTCTGTGTTTTCGATGTGAAAGTGGATTAATGTATTACCAAAATGATGATTTTGCTTTTATTATTTTAGAAAGTATTTTGAAAAGCAATTGCTCTCATTTATTTCTTTGTATAAGTTACTTTTATGTATATAACATTAAGATTAATTTAAATGAGCATAACCTGACTTATTTTATAACTTTGAGTATTTTGATATTTTTTTAAAGATATGTTTCATTTAAATAGTTTTCCCTTACAGATGAAGGATTTTCCTTCTATAAAACTTTAAATTGTTTTGAAAGCAAATTTTCCTTAAAGGGAAACGTTTTATATAAGGAGAATTTTTACTTTCGCTGCAATATTTTTTTATAGATAATTCCTACTGTATTTTTTATCTTGAGGAATACATTTCCCTACTTGGTAAACTGGGAAGGTTATCAAAAAGGGGATGTTACAAATTGATATCATAGCCAAAGTTTTGCTAATATATTAATCTGCCATGTGGGTTAAAGTGTAGTGTCATAGGATTAGATTTTTGCTTAACTATTAGTTTTTGCACTCTTTGTTTGTGTCAATAGCAGAGGAGGAGGATGAGTCAAGAAGGCAATATTTCTACTCCTACTGCTACTGATAATGTGAATGTCAGAAAGGATTGATGAATAGGTTGAAGTTCACATGAAACTAGAATGGGATTTAGTGTTCAACTATGAGAAAGGATTGTTAGAAGCATTTCATAGTGTGTGCTGAATGTTTTGCTGGGGTACTGTGCTAATTTCTAATCGATGTAGCAAAACGGGAATTAAGAATAAAAGGGAAAGGGAATTATTCTCTTTCATGTGAACATAGGCGGTTAGTAAATATGAGAGGACTTAGCTAAATCTAAGTAGAAGCCCTTAGAAGAATAATGTGATTATGTTATGAATTAGGGACTAAAAGGCATTAAAAATTTTGTCAACTACTTAAGCCTTTGGGATGCAAGTAGTGAATTTGTATGGTTGAATTTTTGTATGTAGGAATTAATATGCAAAGATAAAGGGTTAGAAAGAAGGTTAAACCTTCAATGTAGATGTTTTTCGTTAGGCTTTTGGTATAATTATGCTTAAGATTGTTTGAACTTGTTAAATGTGTAATTGTCTTCTTTTATTATATGAAGAAGTGGGTATGTAATAGATGTATGATTTTAGTGCGGTTTGGAAAAATATTAGACTTATCATGCCCTTAAGTTGAAATGTTGAATTTGAAGTTTATGGTTAAACATTTAGTTTAGCTCTCTTTAATGTTTTTTTTTGGGATGGTAGAAAAAAAAATATAAACGATGTGGTTTAAATCTGTAATTTGGAGGGGTTATTATATTTCTCTTTTGGGTCTATGTGAAAGGTAGTGCGATTTACTATTGGACAAGTTTAAGCCCTTAAAATTAATAACAGAATCAAATTTTTGGTTAGTGTGTATCAACTCAGCTAATATCTCTTGTTGATTTTTTGGAGTTTTATTTCAACCCTAGCATTAGAGTTGAATCTTCATAAAGTAGATGAGCTGTTTAATTCATCTTTGGGACATAGTAACTTTTACCTTCAACTTGTTGAGCCTAAAAGAAGTGGGTGTCTGGATAGCTTGTCCACTTTTTGGTTGCAATTTTGCCTACATGATTCTAGTTTTTCTAGATCATTATTAATGTTATTTTGTAATCTTAACCTCTATGTTATAATCAGATTCCTTTTGATTTCTGGCGCTAAGTATTATAGATATGTAATAGGCTGATAGCACAACTCTGTAATAAAACCTTTATTTGCATAAGTGGTTTATTGCAGTCTCTTGTTGGAAATCTAGTAATTTATCTTTCTATCTAGGCCAACAATTAAGGGATGGTATCTACTTTATTATTCTAATATACCCTATAATATAGGTGGGAGATTATTGCCAACTATCCAAACCATGGATATAATAAACAGTGCACATTTTTGCATCTACTCTTTGTGAGTATGAGATCACCGTGTTAGTGTTTGAACAGAACAAGTTTAATGAATGCAAGGTTAAAAAAAAAAATGGAGGAATAAAGGGAGAGCAGTAACATAGGGTGTTAGATGCTAGAATCGTTGAATACATGTCATGTGTGAGCTAACATTTGTATTGTCCTGTGTCTTTGACTGTTTGAAGTCTGCTATGTTATTTTAGGCCTCATTAACACATTGAGTCTATTGTTGAATGATATTATGCAATTAGGATTTTGTCATGATTGTTTAGTCTAAAATTGAACAAAATGCAAGTCAAAAGTGAAGTATTAGTTATTGATGTTTTCTAGTAGTTATGATCCTTTAATAGTGGTTATAAACTATGGCTAAAGGGTTGGATGACCAGGCATGCTTTGTGTGCTTTGGTGATTGTGTGCTTATCAAATATGTCTATTGTGAATTATGCTAAGCACTAGGAGAGGTCAAACCAATATCTAAGTGTATGATAGTCAAATTATGAACCCTATTACAAAGCATAGAAGGAAGAAAGAAATAGTAGAGTGGAACCTACTATTAGTATATAGAAGGTGATATTAAGGAATGGTGAGAAATTTTTTATGGTTACGATCTGATTGTCCCTTGCCTTTATTTTAAAGCAAAGAATATTTATGTTAGGATTTCAGGAGGAGTATGATATTGTTAATTTATAAACTTTTGCTTTATTTAATGTCAGTTGAATAATTGTAAAGTTAATTGGTATAAGGATATCATTAATAAGAATTGACTGCATTTTGGAATAATTTGGGACTATGTGAAGTGGAATAAGTGCTAAAAGTTAGTTCTAGTACTTTATGGAGGTGTTAACTCCTGTTTTGGACTTCTTGGTTTAGTATAATCAAGTAGTATTTATTGAAGCCTTCCTTGATTGAATTATATTGTATAAGGTTGGTTGTACCTTGCTGATTGTGAATATGTTAGTTAATGTCAGATGTTCAACTTCATGAGTTGAAAGACATGAATTGAATTCTTGTGATGCACAAGAATTTTCAGTTAATTGATGATAGAGTATGCAATGTTTATTGTATTGAGATCCTTAAGCTATGCTTAAGAAGAGTACTATATGTATTGTTTGTGAATGAAACTTATGAATTATATGACCTAAGCGTACTATTATTCGTTGTTGACATGCTCAAGAATATTAGACAGACCCTATAAGCTACATGATATTGAAAATCTAATTTGCAAGTGTTAGGGAGATGATGATCTTTTGCCCATGGCTAGGTAAAAGGATGTTCCTAACGTTATTTGAAACATTATTGGACATTTGTGTTACACTTATATCTTTAATAGAATTACAATGCTCAAAATTATTTACAGTAATCAAAATATTAGTTTAAATAAATGTGTTTCCTTTCTTATACTTGCGTGAGAAAAGGGATGAATGGCAGAAAAGTTATTACTTCTGCCTAACTTTCTGTAGATATTAGAATGAAAGTAATGCAGGAATTCAATCTAAGTTGAGCACCATTGTCAAGGGATATCTGCATACTACACTAGGAAGCACAAAGTAGTCCTTACAAGGATTTCTATAGGAGTGAAGGTAGATTACCTATCTATCTTGAAACTATAAATTCTGATCTTGGTTGTTAATGTTGCATTAAGCCTATTATGCATTTGATTTTGATTAAATGACTTTGGATTATGTCTCTTATGTAAAGAAGTGGTAAAAGTCTAAAAAGTGGCATACCTAAATTTTTCCTCAGATTTCTCTTGAACTTGAATATTTTATCCAAAATGTTTGATGTGGTTTGAGGTGTGATGTATTTAATCAAGGAGGTTTCTAATTGAAACTACTAGTTCCTAAGTTTGTTAAGCCACATTAGTTTTAGAACCTTTTGATGGTTAAAAGTTTTTACCAAGTTGTTTTTAAGGTGCATGCCTATAATTGTAAAGAGTTTGAAATCATCACATCATGATCTTTAATTGCAATAGCTGGGGTGAAGTTAATAAGAACATTGAAGAAATTTGAGGTTGAGAACTTCATTAAGGGAGTGATAGGAAAATGGGTTGCCAATAGGTAATAGAAACTTGAAGGATCAAGGTTCTATTTTTGAAGCATATTGTGATTTGGAGGACCAAATCCTTTTAAGGTGGGGACTATGTAACACCCACATACCTTAATGAATAATTTAAAAATTAGTGTCCTTTAGTTTATAGTTTTAGGGATTAAATTGATTGAATTTAAAGTTTAGAGGTTTTAAATAAAACTTAGTAAAAGTTGAATGGCCCTAACTCAATTATCCCAATTTTACTTACCACATGGCATTGTCCCAACCAAGTTTTTTTTTTCTTTGTCGGTGGAAACTTGGATAAGCCTCCAGAGGGCCCCCAAAAGTCCCCATTTTTTTTTCCTGTGTCTTCCAACGTCCCTGCATCCTTTTCTTCCTTTTTTCTCCGACCAAGGTTAAGATGCTTTTTTAGGTAAGTATAAGTTTTAGTTATGAATATGTGGTTAGAGTTTTGGATAGTTTAAATTGGTGAGATTTGACTCTAATCTTTGGTTTATAAAATTTTTGGATATTAAAATTTCATTAGAAATATATTTAATTTTGGGGTTTATATGGGAAAGACAATGAGTTATTCCTTTTTATGTTTGATTCGGGTGTGAATTTTTACTTGTCGAAATTATAAGTAAATTGTACTGTTCATATACACTGTTCATGAATTACTGTTTTTGATTGCTGTTCACATAATTATTGTTTACGATTACTGCTCATACATCACTGTTCACACACTATGCTTTAATCTGTTTTAATAAGAAGTCCTAAGATTATTTTGGATATATTTTGAATTTGTTTGACATGTGTATGTGCTTATGGATATGGAATAAGTGGACCTAAACTTAAAGTTTAGGGTATTCAATGGACCCTTCGGTGTATTTAGTGGACCTCTGCGTGGTAAGGTTAGTACTGTGATTAGCTCCAGCACAGTGTTGCTAGCATATATCAGTAGACTCTATAGCATTATGTGATTTTCGATTTTATGCATTGCGCTTGTGATATCGTATTTATGAGCATATAATTTTAGTATATGAATTCAATTTAAATGTCATTGGTTATTCCTTGACATGTGTGTTTATGATTTGAGATATTAAGTTATTATTTAAATAGTGAGAATTATACTATTATATGATTTGGTTCTGTTGCGCTCATACTCTTTATGTGTATAGGTCTAGGGGTCTTAGGACCTAAGTTTATAACTTAAACTTACTACTTACTAGGCTTTTAGCTCATAAAATTTCTCCCCCATTTCAAATTAGTAGATTGGAGTAACGGCTACTCAACTTGAGAGCTCTCGATATAAATCTCGTATGCCAATCTTAGTGTTTTCAATGTGAAGGCGGATTAATGTATTACCAAAATGATGATTTTGCTTTTATTATTTTAGAAAGTATTTTGAAAAGCAATTGCTCTCATGTATTTCTTTGTATAAGTTACTTTTATATATATAACATTAAGATTAATTTAAATGAGCATAGCCTGATTTATTTTATAATTTTGAGTATTTCGATATTTTTCTTAAGATATTTTTCATTTAAATAGTTTTCCCTTGTAGATGAAGGATTTTCTTTCTATAAAACTTAAAATTATTTTGAAAGCAAATTCTCCTTAAAGGAAACGGTTTTATATAAGGAGAGTTTTTACTTTTGTTGTAATATTTTTTTATAGATAATTTTTATTGTATTTTTTATCTTGAAGAGTATATTTACCTACTTAGTAAACTAGGAGGGTTATAAAAAAGGGGATGTTACAGGAAGTCCAAATCTGAAGTAAAGGGGCATCTGGTTGGGCACATGTTGCTGGGGCTCGCAGGGCCCAATTGATTTCTCCTTGCACATGCGATTGGACCCTACATTTTCTTTCTCAACTCCATCTTTGGCACAAAGCTCTTCTTTGATTAAAATTGCAGTATTATGCTACACAGGGCAGTCTTCATCCTCAAGGTTAGTTATGAAGTAATTAGCATTAATTAATAATAGCAAAGTTTGGTATGTTTGGATTTATTATGTTCATTTTGATACTGTAGAATGTGCTCCAAGGTGTACCGCTAGATGCTCAGCTACAGCATACAAGAAGCCGTGCATGTTCTTCTGTCAAAAATACTGTGCTAAATGCCTGTGTGTGCCTTCCAGAACATATGGAAACAAGCAGTATTGCCCTTGCTATAACAACTGGAGGGCCTAAATGCCCATGACTTTTAATATTTATTCTATGCTGCGATGTTGCCTGTAGTAATCATAATTCACCTTCTATTTAACTCGTATATGCTCTATTGATTTGTACTCTTTGAATGCGAACTAGGGATCAAGATTATGAGTAATTCTAAAACCAACAATTTTATTTTATTTTCTAGCAGAACATGCATTTCAGAAGCAGAAGTGCTAAAGTTAAGACGGACTTGTAAGTAATAAGTAGCACATTGGAGAAAATAAAGTAACAAGCCAGGAGAGAAGTGAGATCCTGACATTTATTTTCCAAACCTGAAAACCTAAATCTTACACGTAGATAACATACTTAGAACAAGGAGATGAGAGGTTCAACTTATTTAAGATTTTACATAACCTACTCAATTGTTAACATCCAAACAGAGACAACCTTTGTGCAGATGTTTCAAAACTTCAGTTAGGAACCTAGACAATGGTCTCTTTGGCTAGAAAATGGCAAATTGGCACAGATCCTGTGATAAGGAACAAGAAGAAGCTATTCAATAGTTATTTAGATTATTTAGAATTCTTAAGTAATTATTTTTATTCAAGTGTAGTTATTATTAGTTTTCCTATTTTTATTAGGATTAAGTCTTTTATCAAGAGTCTTAAGTACTAGTTAAATTAGAAATTTTAAATTTCAAGTTATAGATTAACTAGAATATGAGTTCTGGTAGGAGTCTTAGTAGTTTTTATATAAATATGCATGTCATTAGATAGTTAATAATATTCAGAATTTTTCAGCAAATTTTTGCTCTTGATTGTGTGATGCAATCGTGGTTGTGTGATGCAACTAACCTTAGGTGTGATACTTAAGGGTTTTCATACTCTTTAGGTGTGATGCAACTAACCTTAGGTGTAATGCTTAAGGGTTTTCATTCTCTTTAGGTGTGATGCTTAAGGGTTTTCATCCTCTTTAGGTGTGATGCCTAAAGAAATCTAGGTGTGACTCCTAGTATTTTTCTATCCTTCTAGTTGTTGTTTTCTATTTCTTCCTCTTTTATATCCTAAACAGACCCTATTTTACTGTTCACGCATGATATTCACACTATATATTTGCCTAAACAGCCTGTAAGTCCCCAAGCCCACCATACCCCTTAACCTGTCCCACATCATCCTGGTTTAACTTTCAGGTTCTGAAATGCAAAATATAAGGGGTTCCAAGTTGATGTATCTTTGTGACAAATAGCTATCACCTTAGCTTTAGTGTCATCGGAACCAATCCAGGGAACCTTATAGACATCTATTTTATCAAATGAATGGCACAAAAACATAGCAGAAGGGAACTCCAACTTGTGACACACCATATCCTTCTCTCCCACGTTCTTCACACCCTTGCCACTACTGAACTTTTCAATTTTTGTCTTCTTCTCAACCTTAGTTGACAGTACCTATCTTTTTCCCTAACCTTGAAACACTAAGATCCATCAAGGACTCTGAAGATGTAGCACAGTACTTGTCTTCCCCTTCTATGGCTGCTTTCTTTCAATCTTCAATATTCTTTCTCATCACCTTGGCTCCTACTGATTTAGGGTCCATAGAAAAAAGTTTCAAAATGTTAAAAAATTTGTTACCTGAACAAGGCATTGAATTTGCAACTGCAAGAGGTAGGAAAGTAGCTTGGTTCTCTGTCTTTGTGAATCCTAGCAACTCAATTAGCCTCCATCACTTTCAAAGAAAAAGATACTAGCATTGCTAGTTAGGTGACTTCCAACTAGCGCCTCCTCTGACTTCAAAGATACTAGCATTGCCAGTTTTCTCCTCTGCATCAGCGACAAGAGCTGTCGAAGAATTTTCAAAATATTTCCAGGATTTGTTTTCAAATCACAAAAAATTAGTTCGAAGCAATTACACAGAATGTATTTAAAAAAGTGTAACTTTGGTTCGAATCATATAATTATGGTTCGAACCATTTATGTAAAACTAGAATCCGAAAAGTTACAATTTTAATTCGAACCACATTTATCTGGTTCAAACCATTTAAGTCATAAATAAGAGATAAAACCTATAACTTCAAGCAATGGCTATGGAAACTTTGCTTTGAGATGAAATTAAAGCTTGTAACCCATAATTATATATAGCCACACAGTCCGAACTAAACCAGCATTTCCGTACCAAAAAATTCTTTCAAGAAAGGATGGAGATTCCATCTGACGCATGCATTTGTGGCTGCTTAGAAAGGAGAGATACTTGAGATGCAACTTGTGTCAATCATAATTGTAAGGCGCTTTCTCTTTACAGCATGCAAGAAGCCGTGCATGTTCTTCTGTCAAAAATGCTGTGCTAAATGCCTGAGTGTGCCTCCTGGAGCATATGGGAACAAGCAGTATTGCCCAATTAATACTGCTTATGAGTAATTCTAAAACCAACAATTCATTTTTTCTTTCTGGCTGAACATGCATTTCAGAAGC